CATCTTTCCCGCGAAGGTGGAGGAGATGGACCCTAGGATTTTGGTGTCCATCTTTTTTTTTGATCGGTCAAACGGAGCACGTGGGTCTCGCGCTGCTTTATTAACTCTCGCGGTTCGGGTCCGTAAAGCCGAGAGAAGGCAAGAAGGTTATCGGTAGCTTGGCGTGGGTCGGAGCGTGCATTGGCATTTTCCATTACATTACATTACGCGCGACGCGTTCTTTCCAGTTGGCGGGCAATCTCAAAAAAGTAGTTAGTTTCTCTGTTCTCTTCTCAGTGGTCGCGTGGTACCGTAATGGATCCGGGCTTCTAACAAACAATGAAACAAAAAAAAAAAAAAAAAAAAAAAAGAGAAAAAAAAATGAAATTCCTGCGCACAGCCTGATATGTATCACCTGGTGAGAGGACGCGGACGATAAACTTGGTTCTGGTGTATCTGTTACAGACGTGAGTCCGCATCTGATCTTCAAGAATGGAATGACGCCGACACTCTGGCCGCAGGACGTACCGTTTCCACCGGAGGAAGGCAAAGAGGAGGTAGGATCGACGTTCGGCGACACGGACACACAGTCGGGTGCGTTCAGCCCGGCGCCGGACGCCAACTCGATCCAGTATCCAGCATACTTCAAAGACCCGAAGGGCGGGAATCACGCGGTTTTCGGTGCTGGTGGCACCGGTAGCTTCGGTGCTCTCCAGTATATCAAGCAACAGGGCGGCAGCAAGAGCTGTCTGCCGGACGTGATACAGCACGGCCGCTCCGCGGGGATGCCGCTGTACGTGCGATGCCCGATCTGCCAGAAAGAGTTCAAGCAAAAATCGACGCTACTGCAGCACGGCTGCATACACATCGAGTCGAGACCGTATCCTTGCCCAGAGTGCGGCAAAAGGTTCAGGCAACAGTCGCACTTGACCCAACACCTTCGCATCCACACGAACGAGAAACCGTACGGCTGCGTCTACTGCGGCCGTAATTTCCGTCAGCGTACCATCTTGAATCAACATTTGCGCATCCATACCGGCGAGAAGCCGTACAAGTGTCAACAGTGCGGCAAAGATTTCCGTCAGAAAGCGATACTGGACCAGCACACGCGCACCCATCAGGGCGACCGGCCCTTTTGTTGCCCGATGCCAAACTGCAGGCGGCGTTTCGCCACCGAGCCCGAGGTGAAGAAACACATCGACAACCACATGAACCCACACGCGGCCAAGGTGCGTAGGAACTCAAGCAGCGACTCGAAACCGCCGGGCACACCGGCTGGTTTAGGCCCTGTCCCCGTGCCGAGGGGACTTACGCCAACCGTGGTGAAGCCAGAGCTCTACTTCCCGCAGTGTTACGCGCCCGCGTTCAATCATCAACCGCCAGTGTCGACGGCGCAGTTCCCGGCCCAGGCGAACGGGGTTTCCGTTAGCGGCGAGTTCAAACCACCGACCGGTCTGCCGCCGCAGTGACTAACCGTCCATCCTGCCGCCTACTAGCAAGCAGGAATACCGCTGAGATTTCAGCGATGCTTCGGTCACGCGTTACAGACCGACGCCGCCACCGCTGCCGCTGCCGCTGCCGCCGCCGCCGCCGCCGCCGCCACAACGACGTCGTCGAGTCTCGCGTCGCACCGATGCAGCCAGCCGATCCAGCAACACTACCCGTGACATTTATCGTGCATTTACTAGACTCTTTCTTTTCGTTTCGCGGTTCGCTTACTTTCCTCGTTCCATTGCTTCGCACAGCCTCGGAACGCGTCGCCAGCTAGTCATCAGCTCGACGATGATCGACACCGCGACTCGCCTTTGCGTCGATCTGTCTCTCTCTCTCTCTCTCTCTCTCTCT